CTGCGCCGGTCCCGCCCGCGCCGAGCCCGGCGGGATGCTCGCGGTGGCGTGGCCCTGTCACCCCCCGGGCCTGGGGAGGTTTGGGTGACAGCGCGGTCTGCCGAAATGACCGGGCAGGGAGGTGCAGCCTCCGCAGCCTCGCGTTTTGAACCCAGCAGCACAGTTTTGGGGCAGGAAAAGATCGGAAGAGCGGGTCAAATTGTGCATCGGGATGGTTTTCAGCCGTTTCTAAATGTTTGCTTTTCCTTCTAAAGCACATGCCCATAAAATCGTGTATTTTTTTTATTTTTATTTTTTTTAAAAAACAAAACTAGCTCATGGAAACCGTGCCCCAGGGCAGATGCTCAACTTTAAAAACTTTGTCGAATACATTAATCATTGGAGTTATTTGTAGCTGCTTTATTATTGAAATACGCAATACATGTTAGATCACTTTTCCAAAATATGGACCAACAATCAGAAGAATATATGTTTACGTAATGGCAGCATGTCAGAAAAGTAAAGTTTTTGTAACTTGAAGCCAGTTTTTGTGTGTGGATAGAATGCGTGTTCCTTGGGGATCATTGAATAGCGAATTACTATTTGGTGACGAGAGAATCAGATTTTAGGAAAGTAGAGGCTTGACCAACGATCCCTGTGTCAGCATGGGTAACACATTTGAGGGGGACGCAGGCATTTTATAGCAGACATATCTAAATTGCTGTCTTCATCTTAGAGGAAGCCAGGAGTCAGATAGATCAACTACTAATTTACTTACTAAATTCTTAAGCTGTCTGAAAATTTAAGATGTATATATTATAGTATATTAATATATTGATGGTATATTATAATATGTATTAATACACATTATGTTTCTTGTGTGTGAAAGCTGGCAGTTCAGAGCTAGGCTCTTAACTCGTGTGTGTGGTCCTAGTGACGGAACCCAGAGCCTAGCGCTCTTCAGCAAGGGCTCTGTCCCGGAGCCACATCCCCATCCCTTGACAGGTTACTACTTTGAAAGGATTTTGATCGACTCTTGTTTTTTTAATGCATTATTTTGCACTTTGTGTGGATTTGTTGTGGTAGAAATACTAACAGTCACTTGGAAAATTTTGAATATATTCAGTGGCTTTTGTTTTCCATATGACAAAATCCAATGATTTTAAGTACGCTATGATAGACTATTACCAAAGGAGATTTCTTTGAACTGGGTTCAATCCGCAGCATGACAGGGTGTCGGGGGGATGGTGTTCTTATGAGTTAAGTTACAAGTGCATATTTTTATCTCAATATGTTGTTGTAATCAATGTTGCAATTTTCAGGGCATACTTTATTAAATATTTTTGATTTATTTTTTCCCCAAAACATTTAGTTTAAACCTCACTGAACTAGTCCATTTCTTTTAATATTTACACGCAGCATGTTTTGGTTCATCTCCTACCCTTTCCCAGTACTCCAAAAGAGGGCGTCTTTATGCTTTAAGCATTGGAAATTTTAACAGGGAGGTGGTAGCTTCCTCTTTAATCCTGAAAGGCTCGGATTCCTTTTGCATTGTAGTAGTTCCTGCATAAACAGTACTTCAGTGGTGCTGTTAAGTAAACAGTCATTTATTTTGCACCAGAAACCTAATTTTCCAGTTGATGAGTAGCAGCCGCTGTGTTCGTTGGCCCACTACGTTTCCGTTTTCCAACATCTTCTTTCCCTGCTGCACAATTGGAGGGTTTAATTCCTGTTCTGAAGGTGGAAGAGACAGCGCCGGGCCTTACTGCCTTGGCGCAGCCAGGCCTGGGGTCATTGCCTGGGTTTTCCACTCTGGGTGGTATGTACTGGATGGGTTGAACTAGAGTTAGTCTAGCTGGCTTCCTACTGTGATTTGGGGGGATCGACGTTTTGAATCATACTTTCTGTTTAATAGTAATAAGCAGTAGAAACCAGGTTAAATTTCCTGATGGAGGTTGTTCTTAGAACAATGACATTTTTAACCAATCAGTATTTACATGAAAACAGGTGTCATCTGCTGTAGAAAGTCTGATAAGTATAAAGTAAGTTGTTGGCATTGTAATATATATAAAAAAAAATTTATCTAGTCTGGATTGTGTAGCTGCCCTGTTTTGAACTGAATTTTCTAATAGCGATTTTCAATGTTTATTTAGCCAAATTAGTGAAGCACAGGCTAGCTGCATTTGGGAGCTCTAGTACCATAATGTCAAGATGGATCCCAACTTCTAATGCCTTGAATACACGAGATGCACCTAATCTAATTCTGTTCACCCAACATTTTTTGAATTCCTTCCAGGTGCCAGGCACCAGGCTGGTTGCCTAGGTACAGAAGTAAAAGTTCGCTGCCCTGTAGGTATTCAGCAGAATTGCAGTCTAACATTTTACATTTTGAAGGAAGGGATGGCAAGGGGCCTCCCATTGTGAAGGAGGGGCCTTTAAATCTACCTGTGGGTTTCGGCAGCTTCCTGAGGAAGAGTGTGTGTGAGGAGAGTTAGCCATCTAAGAAGGGTTGGAAAGGGTGTTTGAGGCAGAGGAGGGCAACGAGGATGTGGAGACAAATACGAGCTCAGAGTGCAGCAGGAAATGAAACTGGGTCCCCACTTCAGTGGCCTTTGTGTGTCATCTGAGGTTTAGCTTGTAGGCATTAGGGAGCTAATAAGGAATCCAAATGTCTATTTAATTCATCATTATATATTGTAAATTCTACTTTTGTGAAGCTTTTATGTGATAGATTTGAAATGAATATCATGATGAATAATTTTTAATAGAGCTGTTTTGAGTTTATAGGGACTATGCGCCTTGCCCTTAGTCTCATCATACTTGCTTTCTTCATTTCAAGTAAAGCAAGGCCCACATCCAACCCAACATTCCCTTCTGCCTCGCCTTCATTGATTTGGGTCTGAATTCTTACTGTAATTATTTTCACAGTAGTTACTGAAAATAAGTGTGAGATACCATTATTCTCAGTGGTGCTGTGTAGTTGAAATCTTAATTATATCTTCTCTTACCCGTCCAGCACTCATTGTGTCTGTAATTGTACACAGACACGCAAATTTACTTACTAAGCCCTTGAGATTTTTTTTTATTAGTACAGTCTGATAAAATGTTATGAAATGAATTTCAAATGCAGTAACACACGTTAATTTAGATCAGTTATAGGTCTATGTACTGTGGTAGAACACAAGAAAAGTTCTGGGGATTGTTTATTGGAATTGGGGAATTTAGAAGACATAAGAGGGGAGAGGAGGGAGAGAGAGAGAGAGAGAGAGAGAGAAACAGAAAGAGAGAAAGAAAAAAAGAGAGAGACTGACTTCATGTACCTTATATGAAGTCCCACCAGATATTTGTGGAGAATTTGGTGGACAGAGGTAACATTCATGCTCCACTACATACAAAACTGGCCAAATGAGGAGAAACAGAAAAGTATCTAGGCTTCCACAGCTGGTCCAAGTGCACTTCATAGAAGGCAGGTGAACTTAAGATATACCGTAGGATAGTTACAGCAGTTAGTGATGGAGGCATATCAGCAATAAGTAGGTGAGCTTAGGATTTGATTATCAGAAAGGTGTGCTTTCTTTATTTGTTCCAGGATATTCAGACCCAGAGTGAAATTTATCACAATCCCCAAAATGTCTTCTGGACTAACACGTGTTTGAACAGCTGCTGGCTGTGACACTGTTTTCAGCTACATCTGTAATCATACAAACACCTGTGGCATAGTCAGCCATTGTAATGCCCAGCAGTGGATAAACGTGCTGCAGAATTAGGGTAAAAAATAAACACATGCGTATGTCTTGTATTAGGGAATTCTGTTAAGGAGATTGACTGACGAAGCTATATTTAAATTATCATTATCCACTTCAATTCTTTTTTTTAGAAAAAAAACTAAGTTGCCTTTTCTGCTAGTAAAACCAAATGATAGGCTTTACCAAATTTACTTTTTATCCATGTATTTGGACCTCACATTTTGGATTTTTTGTGGAGGGTTTCTAGGATAAGTCTAAATTTTTACAAGTGATACACATTATAAAGGCGTAAGTGCTTTTCCATGCAATATTAAACAAGATGCTAATTCTTGCTTCATGTATACCAAATTCTTGCATGGTGTCTGCATGAGAACTGGCCTGTGATTTGGGTGTAGGACACCATCAGCGGCATAGAAATGGAGAGAAATGTTGAGGTCTTTGGAAACCTGACTAAAGATTGCTCCTGAACCTCAGGCTAAGTAAATCCTTACCGCAGAAAGGTTTTGTTGCTGCAGGTAGCAAGCTTCTGCATTAGTCTGCTCATATATTCACAGCCATCTTTTTTAATAAGAACTTATCAGTTAAATAGCTCAAATAAGTATTAATATGTTTTGAATTTTAAAAATATTGGCTCACGTGAAAAGAGTGACAGCCATCTTTTTTACTCAGTCATTTTTTTTTTGTTGATTTTTGAGGTAATACTGTAGATAACTTCAACAAGAAAGGACAAATGATATGTACTGCCTATAATGTCACAACCCAAAGACAGCCACTGTTAACACTTCACAGCTGTTTTTCAGTCTCTTCTTTTTGGTTTTACATTTTGCCCACATATTTATCATACATATCATATAAGAAGCTTTGTTGGACTTTGGGGCTCATGAATTCAACCAATTTCTGAACTATTTTTTTACTATTTTAAGTCATGCTTACTTGAAGATAAATCTGACTGGATCCCAAGTCTGTACTGACTCTTGAAAATTGGGAGCAGAAAATGCTTTTTCATAAAGTATATCTTAGTTCTCATGAATGGATTATTTTGAAGCCAAAATATTAGAGCATGAGTTGAACATCCTAGAATCTAGAAGCTGTGTGAGACAGAAATCTAGAATCAAGATTTTGTACTATTCTGTCTCTGTGAATTTGCTGTATTCTTCACTGATATGCAGCATTGGGAATGTATCCCAACTGTTTCCAAGACACAAGTATAGCCCTCCTTTCTGAATCTACATGTATAGAGTAAGTGCATCTATAATCATTCATGTTTGTAGATGTTTTAATTTAAGCATGTCACTCTAAAAGCTCAGAGATGATCTGGGAAAAAAGCCAAACTGAGCCTAGATATTGATACCTGTATTGGTCTTTTAGAGAACAGTGTGAGACCAATGCAACCAATGCCATCAGAAGTAAGAAGATGAATATAGTCACTCGAAACAAAATAAAAGAAGTTTTCAGAGCCGAGTGAGGGCTCCCTGGAGGTGGAAATGCTGTGGCCACTCAGCAGTGGCAGGGTCCTGTGTGGAGAGCACCACTGAGTGGAGTGTTAACTACTTTCTTGAAAGCAGCAAACATGCAGTGCCGTCCTCACTAGCACCAAATCGGGGCCAGTCTACATGTGTTTGTCCTGTTTTGACTCTCACGCTTTAGAGCTCTGTAAGATCAGTTCTGCGCTCATCCACAGCGGAAAAACAGCGGAATAGAAGCTTTCCTCACTAGCCGTCAAGGACATGCGAAGTAAACCGTAGGGAAAGTCCATTTTTCCTTTGTCACACCAGAACTGTAGGTTGAGAACCTTGAATGGGCAGGTGTTGCCAAGGTAGTGGTAAGTCCTCCCCCTCCAGTGTTAGTGGGGGCGTAGACTGGGGTGGGAAGAAAGGGCCATGACTACGATGTTTTATTGAATTTAAATGGCATATGGCCAAGGAATTCTGTTGGAGAGAATGAGTGTTTGTTGTAGTGTTTATGTTTCTTCCTATAAATTTGAAGTGTTCCCTGTTTTTAAAAACAGCTATCCTGCCACAGACTGGGTGACTTGAACAAGCAGAAATGTGTTTTCTTGCCATTCTGAGGTTGAGGGGTCGGGTGAGGCCCCTCCCTAGCTTGTATGGGAGTCCTGTCCAGGATGTTCACATATTCCTGTGTGTGTGTGTGTGTGTGTGTGTGTGTGTGTGTGTGTGTATGCCCTAATTGCTTATAAGGACACCACACATATTAGGGCCATTTACCACCTTGAGAGAGCCTGTCACCAAAGGCACTGAGATTTCAGTCTAAGCTCCTGGGAGTTGGGATTCATCATGCAGATCCAAGGAAGACATGTTCAGACTATTACAGTAGTTTCTATGGTTTGAGTAGGGTTTGTCCTCGCAAACTCATGTTGAAATGTAATGCCCATCATGAACCATGAAGAGGTGGGAACTTAGTCTCTCAATGCTGTTTTAGGTAGAGACAATGGGAAATGACTAGGCCAAGATAAGCTCGCTGGGCCACAGCTGCCTGGATTGAATCCTGGTGTCTTTACAAGTGGGAGAAAAGCCAGACACTCACACGGATGCAGTCCCTGTGTGTTGCCATGTGATGCTCTGGGCTATCTTGGGACTTTGCCCCCAAGAAAGCCATTACCAGATGTGGTCCCAGGCCTTGCACCCCCAGAGCTATGAGCCAAAATAAGTATTTTCCCTTTATAAAGTAGCCTACCCCAGGGATTTCAGTATAGTGAAGAGAAACAGACCACTACACTAGAGAAGTTTAAAAACTTAAGGTCTCATAGCTGGTATGGTGGACACATGGGATTCAGGCCTGGGTATTTCAGCCCAAATGTTATTTTCATAATTCTGTACTCCTGCCCTTAGACACCTAGAGACATGCCCCGACACTGATCAGATCTTTCTTTTCCTCAGAACCAAGGGACTTAGAGAAAACAATTTTACTGCCTTGAGAATAAAACCAAGAAAAGAAAAAAACTGAAAACACTGAACTCTAGCGCTGCATGTTTGCTGAGGTAGAAGATAGTTGGCTTTGAAATGCATGAAATACAGAACAGTAGATGTCAAGCAGGAAATGATGGGGGTGTGGCAGAAAAGGAACACAGCCGAGGGTTATTATAGAGGGTGCTAGAAGAACAGTGCTGAACTTTCATCTGGCAGGGCTGCAGAAAGCTGTGCCTTGGAATGTGTAGTCCAGCATTATCATGGATTCAGGCTATATAAAATAGTCATTTTGATGCATATAAATATCCCGAAGGTTTTGATAAATATGAACTTGGTCAATCACTCATCCAACAAGCTGATTGCACTCTTAGCTGTGGCAGGCCAGAAGAGACAGTTGAAGACGTAAGAGAGCTTCTGAATTGAGTTTTGAAATATAGCTTTCCTTGAACCGGGTTTTTATTTTTGTAGACATTCACGTGTGAGTAGTATAACTCATGATATTTGAAATCACCACCAAATTTGTTTGACCAGGTGAAATTAAAATGAAAAATGATTACATTGTTATGCTAAATTACTAATCATGTGAAAAGTATATGAAAGTTTAAAATTAAAAAATGTTTGCATTATAAGTTTATACCCATTTTTTTTTTTTAAGTTGGGAGGGTTTTGTCATAGTTTTATTCTGAAATGAAGTCGGTAGCTTTACTGAGATGCAGGAGAGCTGACACCAGTTAATGTGTGTGCTTCTGGTTTTCCCTCCTGTGGGCAAAACTTGCTCTTTAAATAATCTGTTCTTCTTCTTTTTGGTTCTACCTTATTGCTATATTTGGAGGTGTATAATGTAGTGCACATCCTGTCAGAGATACCTTTTTTTCTTAATTACATGTAAGTTACATCCTCTCTTGCCTTCTTTTTCTGCAGGTAAAAACAAGTGACTAGAAAAGCTGATCTTGGAGTCATCTACTATGGCACGGAGAAGATTTGATTGCCGGAGCATTTCAGGCATGTTAACAACAACTCCTCAGACTCCAATCAAAATGGAAAACTTCAACAATTTCTATACACTTACGTCTAAAGAGCTTGGGAGGTAAGCAGACTATGACGCTGTGCTGTGTTTAAAGTCAGACTGTGGGTTTCTGTTCTGCAGTTCTACTTGGAAACTCACTTTGGCCCCTTAACAGTGGCGGGAGTGTAACGTCGTTCCATCTATCCCTAAGACACAGACTGAGGACTTGGCTCTGTAGAGGGTGTAGTGAGTTCATACGGGACGCCTCACCCAGCCGAGAGTCCCCCAGGTCTCAGTCCTTCTCTGCAGCTGTGGTGGGAAGAGGCCGCTCAGCACGGTGGGTCGCTGAGCCCAAATCTGGGCTCTGTCGTTGACTAGGCGTGCGACCTCGGTGACATTACTGAGCCTTTTCGTGCCATCGTGAGCTCATCCCAAGAAGGAATGAAGGTAATTTTATCTGCTCTGAGGGTCACATTGCTTAATACTTGTAAAGTGCTCAATACAGTGCTATATGTTTTTGTTTAAAATTTTGTCATTCCTAAGATGTTGCGCATGGTTTAAAAAAGAAACAGATCCCCTCTCATTTCTTTCCGAAATTAAACAGAAATTGCTAACTCCTGCCTGATAGTATAATTCTGTGCTACAAAGAATGGGTATTCTGTAAGGCAAAGCCTTTAGAAATTCTTCTTTGGCTTAACCAATATATAATTTTCTTGAGTCCAAGGAGTGACCTGATATCATAAAACCATTTAGTGCTTAGTATAAAAGGCATACCAAATTTTAAAATTCAGTGTCTGTTGAGCTTTATGGTAAAGGCAATTAACAGTTGGAAATGGTAGCCAGTTTATATCTTTAGCTTGATTTTAGTTCTCGTAGAACTTTTCATTGGAAGGACTTTGATCCTGATGCCATTTTCATGCAGTGCAGCGATTGCTCCTGTAATTTCCGCCAATAAGTTGTTATCTGGTGTCAGTCTGAACAGTTCATTGAGGGGAGCACTGTACCTTGGAAGTTGTCTGCTCCAGTTTGTAGTACGTTGTTAGCATAGAATGTCCTGTTTTCTACTCTGCCAGTATCTACCCAGTAACTGTGGTTCTCCTTTTGTAGCTGCACGTAATGTGCATGCATGTGGCGACTCTTCACATACCTGAAATAGCTAAGCACTGACGGTTTCCTTCCATGCTTATCAGGCGATCTGATTTCCAGACAGCCTTCCTTGATGCAGTTACCCTCTTCAGAAGCCTTTGGTGTTTTCGTTGTTTTTTTGAAAGGGAGGCCTACACTTGGATGCCCAGGAAGCCATTAGGAGTGGCCTGCCTCTCTCCGTGCTGCCTTCCTTCCTCCCTCTCTCCTCCCTCCCTCCACGCCCTCTTCCTCCTTTCCCCTTTTCCTGTTGTTGCTTTTCACCCCAGTAATGTCCCGCCTGTGTTGTGCAGCATCACATAACAGATTAGAAGAAAAGGACTGAGCTAGAAGTCAGTCGCGCTGTCCTTGCGGTAGATCTGAAGCTGTGATGGGCTTAGTTTTGTGATTTCCTTTTTGCTGGGCAAGAAGGTGCTCTAGATGTGTCCAAGTTGCCTTTTATTACAAAAAGGTATGGCAATTGCAATGAATAGGTAATTAAGTAAGCAAAGTCTTCAACAGTACACAAGGCACAAAACATTTTTTCCATTTTTCTAAGTTACTACTTTGATAGATAAATTTACTAAATTTATTAAATTAACTTTGCAAAATAAGAAATACTCTGGTAGTTGTAAAGTCTATATTTTTTTCTTTAAGAAAAATAGGACTTAAACTTTGATGAGAATGATGTCAATAATATAAAATTTTTATAACTGAGGTGCCATCATAAATACCAATTCTGTACTTGAGTTGGCATGCTTTTAACACTTCAGAGCAAAAACTTATGGTAGGACCTGATTAAAACAAACTCACATTGCTAATAGCCCATCTTTGTTTGTGTCTTTGTGAAAGAGTGTCTGAATAATGTCTGAATTGTTTAGGGCTAATGGATCCCATGCTAAATGCAGATGTATTTAATTAGTAGCTCTTGATAAATAAAAAATCATTAGCTTTCATCTACTGAAAGTTTGCTTAAAGTACTTCCAGTATAGTAACCAATCTTAAAAATGTTTTTGTACAGTGGAAATTAGGATCGTAATCTTGCTTTTCCCAAGGGTTGCATATTTTGTAGTACATAAACATATCATTCTAGCATGTGGTGAACTGCAAAGTTATCTTTCTAAGTCAACTGATTTCTTAAAACTTGATTTGAAGATGTAAGTGTTTAGGAATGTATTTTTCTTTATCAATCCAAAGGCGAATGCATAAAAGTTAAGTTCACTTTTTTACTAGTCTCAAACCCCTTGCACTGTTCCTGTTTTTTACCATGTTGGGTAGATTTTTCCGCCCCTCCCCCAAGGGAGGCGAGGTTTCATAGGGCTTGTGGTCAGAGGGGCCAGGCAGATTCAGATATAAACGTCAGCTTCCTCTGCAGCCACCCTCCCCGCCCCCGCCGTTACTGTGTGTGCTAGAATGCAGGAGGTGACTGACTGACTGCTGGACCTGCACTCTGGGGGAGACCTGCTGAGCCACGTCCTTAGGCTGCCCATTACCTATCATTCTTGAGGGTCTAGAATGTTCAGTTTGATATGGGAACATTACATATTGAAGAATATTGCTGATACTTCTAAACTACCCGTGGTATTTTAGAATGGAAAATAAATACTTGGCTTTCTCCTGAGACATCTGATAATTATGGTTAGAATATTTATGTTGTTTCACAGGAAGTGAATATATACACACATGTATAAAATGTTATTGGACTCACAAATACACTTTAAAAAATAGAAGTGTTTCCCGGGCAGGACACAGACTAGCCAAGGAGGTGCTGCTGCGGCGGGGACGTAACCCTGGCGGCCCTCTGCACGGCAGACGCTTTGGCTCCTGTTCTGAGCAGGATGGCTGAGCGCAGATTCCTGCCTGCTCCGCACGAGGTCGGACGTGCCCCTCCCCTCATGGAGCTTCCTCCTGGTGGCCCTGTCCGCTGGGCGCCTTTGTCTTGAATCAGTCAGTGCTCAGTGCTCTCTCCCCTGCTTAAGAAGGCCTCTCGGAACACCTGAAATGGAGACAAAAAGTGATGCTGCATTTTGCTGTTTCTGAGGGAATTCTGGCTTATAAATATAGTCATAAAGTTATAGCAGAACTAAATTGCCGCAACTGGTACTGTAAAACTACTTTTTTTTGGAAGTATAACTTTCTTCACTAACTAGTTTCTGTTTCCTGAAATTTGCAGGGTTAATTTCTTCATAAAACCTGAAGTTCCCTTTCCCTTTTGGACAAGTTTTTGCTTCTGAACCGAAGTAAGAATTGGCAGAAGCACATTAAAACTCATAGAGGAAACCTCATAGAGGGAACCTCGTAGAGAAAAAGGAAACGCTATTTTAAAGGGATGGATTGTGTTATACTGGTTACAACTGAAACTTAGAAATCTACAGTCCAGTTTAATTCGTGACATGACAGTTCCATGTGTGACCTTGCATGCGTCATGTCGTCTTACTCTGACCCAGTTTCCTCAGTGTAAAATTTATAAAACACCAGTGACTTTGAATAAAATGTTAGGGGATGGGCTTAGTTTTTGTGTATTGTTATTGAAATGTACCTATTTGTATTCCTTTTTATAAAATGAGAAATATGTTTAGTTAAAACTAAACATTCTCAAATCTTAAAACTGCTCTCAAAGGTTCATGTTTGGACATGCATATTTACTTAGTTGAGGTATAGTTTAATAAATGTCAGATTATAGCTCAGTTACTTTTTGTGTGCATTACTTACTAGCCAAACCTTTTCAGTTAGGTTTGCTGTGGCTTTCACTACCACCAAATTTGAATAATTTGGGAAGAACAGGAATGTTCTTCACTCTGGTCCTTGGGAATAGCAAGTGAAAACAGTCAAGAAATTTGTCCCGTCCCGTCCCCCCCCCCCCGCCAGGTGTCAGTTATGTTACAAGTGATTTGCCTTTCTGAGGGCTGATACATTGTTCTACAAGAGGGACCTGGGCTAGAGAAGTTGTGGAACAAAAGTTAAGACTTATGATTTATATCTGATTTGTTAATATCATGACCTAGAAAATAGCTTGAACCTTAGGGTAAAAGTTCTGAATTTTGTATCCTCCAGATTTCAAGCTTAGAAAGCTCATGGATGGGGCTTCAAAATCTGAAAAACTGAGTTTTTCAAAATCTGGAACTGAGTGTGAACTCTCTGTGTAGGGTGGGTGTACACTTTCCTGCATAGGCAAGCCAGTAGCATTCATTCGTTGATAGTCTTTGAGTCAAACTAGGTTTACCCTTTATGAAGCTAAATGTTTGTTTGCTATAGGCTTATAACAAACACACATACAATGGAAACTAATCTTTATGTTTTTAAAATTTTGACCAAGGAGCTAAGTACTATTGTTGGAAAGAGCTGAAAACATACTCATTCCTAAAATGATGAACATGGCCTTAATGGGTGTGTTGTACCTAGCAGTTAATAATCATTAACTTTCTTATTTGGTCATGAAATGTCTTAGAATATTCTCCACAGGCTACATGATCCCTTTATCTGTTATTGGCCTTCTAGAGTACTGACCATGACTAAGAGATATACTGATAAAACAACTCACAACTATGATAGAAAGTGCCTAAGCTTATTAAAATTCATGTTTAAAGGCAAAATTATTGCACTGATGAAATTAAACAAATCATATACTCATTTTTCATTTGACTATTTTTGAAGAAAAAGTATTCTGATTAGCAAGTCAGTGTGATGCCCTGATTAGGGTACAGTCTTTGGAAATAGACCTGTTTAAATCTTCACCCTTGACCAAGTTACACATCTTCTCCGTGGTCTGTAAAACAGAATAGCATTTACTATGTGGAACTGTTGTAATACTTAGACATAATAATTTATGTCAAGTGTATGACTTGGAGTAGGTATGCAAGTGGGATGATATGCCTGCAATTATGATGTATCATATTAGTAGCAAAGAATAACTATAATTGTCTTACCCTGCTATTATATGTTGTTATTTACATTGTTTACATAACACTGTACATGTTATAAAAGTACATATGATATTTGATTCAGGTTATAGAATAAAGACAGGTTCTTAATGGCATGAATATTTGAAAGATTAGACTTTATATTTCACTCATAACGATACCTGTAATATACTAGTGTTGTTCTCTATGGGAAAGTTAAATTGCTTGTCCTTGTCTCCCCATTCCACTCCCAGAGGAAAATTTGCTGTGGTTAGACAGTGCATATCAAAATCCACTGGCCAAGAGTATGCTGCAAAATTTCTCAAAAAGAGGAGACGAGGACAAGATTGTCGAGCAGAAATCCTACACGAGATTGCTGTGCTTGAGCTGGCGAAGTCTTGTCCCCATGTGATTAATCTTCACGAGGTCTATGAAAATACAAGTGAGATCATTTTGATACTGGAATAGTAAGTATAATAAACTTTAATAAATTTAAGTTACCCATTTTAATTGATAGGACATAGTGCTTTGAAATTGACAACATAAAAATGATAGAAAGTATGGCAAAAACTTATGTCTGTTGGTAAAATATTAGCGAGGCAGTATATTTGAGTATTTCACACACAGAAAAGCAGAAAATAGATTACTGCTCAACATTTGGGGGCTGAAGTAAAATAAGTGTTCTTTTATTTTGCTAATGGCACAGAATTTGGGATTTTTCTGAAAAGCAACCTAATGGGAAAATAGAATTGAAGTCACTTTTATATTTTGTCCGTCTACTTGGAAAACACATCCAAGGAAATGGTCGAAGGAGAATAGAAAAGTAAACTGCATAACAGTACGCCTAGGACATTGTTTGATAAAGAGACAGTATATGCGATGTGCAAAACACTGTTAGGAGCTGTAACAAGAAATAAATTATGTATCGTATCAAAGAAAAGTTGAAAACCCCTAAGTAGTCAACAGCTTTTGAGTCGCTATGAGTTGAGGATGGTTAAAATAGCCACAAAAGTTAACCAGTACTTTGACATGTTCCTTGTCGGTACAGCCTAATATTTACTGCAGGGGGATAAAAAGTGTGTTTGGACACCTGCAACAACTGGAAAGCATCAGCTAAATTTACGTTTAGTACCTTTTAGGTTCTGGCAATTTTTAATAAATAAATTATTGTATATTAAACAAGATAAGTTATTTTTTAGAAAAAAGATGTATTAAGAACCATAGTAACTATTTTTGTAGCTATCTTGCATCATAGCCTTTTTGAATTTAAAAGTATATTAGCTTTATTTTAGTATTCAAGAGTGGAGAATCTGCATATATATATGTATGTATATATATATGTATATGTGTGTATGTATATTTGTATATATGTGTGTGTGTATATATATATGTATATATATATAAAATCAGTGTTTTTTTGTGCCAGAAAATAGATTTTGCCTGGAATCAACTTGAAAATGAAAATGCTGATTTTCTAAATTGTAAAGTAACAACTAGTTCGTTAATTATCAATACTCTGAACATTTCCCAGAGCACCGAGATTCCACATTAAGGCATGTTATAGCATCTTCAGTATTAATTAGAATCACAGGGAAGGCCAGGACCTCCAGTATGGTTTCATTTTTCATCCATTTGTGATTATTTTATGAAAGATTCTTCAGCTGACTGTCAGTCACCCACCTGCATAATGTCTGCATGTTTGAACTATGTAAAAAGTAGCCAATGTTTTTCAGAAATTGTAATGAAATACTAAGTTTGGATGATGAATATACATAGGTACATCAGCTACTTTCATAAACTCTCCTTTTAGGGGTTCATCTGAAGAGCAACAGCAAAATACGTTAAAAAGGTTTGACACATTTTATGGATAGACCTTGTTCATACTACTGTGAAAATTGATTCGGGCACCCTGCCCAGGAAACTAGAACTCTTACTGATGTGTGCACATCTGGTTGAAAGGTAGAAGCACCCATGTTTCTGCACATGTTTGAGCATTACCAGAATGGCTGACTTACTAAAGTTTATTGCTGAGATTTTGGTTTAACTACTGTGCCTATCATTTTTGGGGTGGTCTGACCACATCAGATAGTTTTAGCTGATGGTAAAAATTAGGTGAGAGAGGTTTGTTTCAATAAGATGGCATAATTTTTATGGTAAAAAGAAAATGGTATAATACTTCACTCTTAGAACTGCCAGCAGTTCAATTCTATGCTCAACCATTTTACATACTTTTCTTTTTATTTTACAAAATTTCTATCAGGATATTTTTTCTTTGCATGCTGAAGCATTTATTCCAAAGAATAAGGGTATTTTTCATATAACTAACACCAGCATCAAATCTAGGAAAGTTAATATTCAGCCAATGGTATTATCTAGTAGTCCATGTTTAAACATTTCTTTGATTGTCTCTAAATCATCCTATAGAACTGGGTTTTTTTCCAGTGCAAAATCCAATCAAGATTCATACACTGCATTTGTTAAATCGCTGTGGTCATTTTATTTTTCATGACGTTGACTTCTTTGGGGAAGTCTACATCACTTAGCACATGCAGTGTTATGTATTCTGGGTGTGTCTTCTTTCCCCGTGATTAGATATTAACACTTTTGTCAAGAAGACAGTATAGGTGGTGATGTATATCTCTTGGCATTACCATTGTTTTGTTATTGATTTTGTTGAATTTGAGCACGGTTAAGGTGGAGTGTGCCAGCTCTGTCATTTATTCCCCCTTGTATAGTAGTCATCTGTGTAGTGATATTTAGAGAGCTCATGAATATCCTCTTGTTCTAACCACTTTTCTTGCAGTGATTTCAGTAACCATTGATACACTTGAACAAGCTATTAGAATAGAGGTCTGAAAATGGTGATAATAACTTACCGTGTTTTAATGTATGAGGTCTAATCAGTGGCTGCACCACTTTTTTTCATGCTGAAATTGTCCAAAATGTATCAGTGGTTAAATTTATCAACTAGCCTTTTAAGCTGTTGCCTGTGTTCTGTTGATAGGGTCATATGTTAGTGTTTGAGGACTTCTTGTTCTACGCATAGCAAGATTTCGAGGGTCACTTTGGCCGATGGCTGTAGTCATTTCTCCAGGAGGTTCGGATTTTTAGTGCCATGTGGTACTTAGAAACCAAGATAGAGATGCTGGGTGCCCATCGTCAGGGGGTGGTCACTGCTCCTAGACCTCTTCTGAGATTAGTGCTAGGAAGCTGTACTTTTAAAAAATCATGAACTTATTCTCATAGTGCCGTTTCAAGTCTGCCCCTGCAAGGTTCTTTATCACTTCACACATCTCCCTTCTTCCACAGTGAAGACACTGGTCTCAACAACACATTCATTTGCCTTATCCAGCAGTACGTAAAGAAAAGCTGGAGCACAGCAGTACTCTGACACCACTACTAAGCCGCTGGTAGCACTAGCAAACTACTAACTGAAGCTTGACTTTTTCGTTGCCATTCGTTTTGAATTTGCAATATAACCTGCTAATGCAGTGGGCCCCAGGTACCAGGAGCCAGGTCTGTGGAGGACAGCTTTTCTGTGGAGTTGGAGTGTGGTGATTCAAGGGCATTACATCAGTTGTGGAGCATTGCATCAGTTGCTGCTCACTGATAGGGCTCTCGTAGGAGTCTGCAAGCAATTGATTAACTCTGGTCCCTGTGCAGTCACCCCTCTCTGCTAATGTGAATCTGTACCTGCAGCCACATCCCTGCCCAGCCCTCCCTCAGATGAGCAGCACTAGACTCTCAGGAGGAGCATGCAGCCTGGGTCCCTCGCATGTCAGTTCACAGTAGGGTCTGCATCCTGTGAGAATCCAGAGCCACCACTGATCCGATAAGAAGTGGAGCTCAGGCTGAGATGCCAGTGATGGGGAGGAGCTGTGAACACCGGTGAAGCTTCCTCCCTTGCCTGCTGCTCATCTCCTGCTGGGGATGCTCCTTTGCACCTTGCTTTTTTTTCTTAAACTTGGCAGTACATCTGAAAAAGAAAACTTGCTGTTACTCGCCAGAGACAATTCTGTGAGATCATGTGAGACACAAATTATATTTTCTTTTTGGTCAAGAAATTACAAAAAGTTAATTTCTAATTATTTGTGTTAAGTATCTTTAGGTAAATACTATGGACCCAACAGAAAACGATGGAGATCATGATGAAGGGTGTAAAATAGCGAAAGCCTTACCTCCTGGTGTGATCTCCGTCACCAGGGCATGTTACTAGCTCGTAAGTGATGACTGTGTCTTACTGACTGTAAGTGACGTCAGCAGCACCCCGCGCGGGGACCTGACTGCAGAGCAGGCCCTGTGCTGAGCCCCTCCGCTGGCTCTTCAGACTCCTCCGAACAGGAGAGGAGCGTTCACGTCCATTTCTAGTGTAGAGCAGCAGGGAACTCCTCTGAGGGGTCTCTTCCCATTCTACAATTTCATGGTCTTTGTTTCTGCCATTAGCATAGGGATTTATTTTTAAAAAGACTCAGTAGAAAAAGTTAAAAAGGACTTCATTTTTATCACTAGAATTATTTTTAAAATCTGTACTTATTTTTAAAATCTGTACTATGTTTTTCCAAAGCTGTTTGACTAGATTTGTATTTTATGGGTAATGGAGATAATGGTTTCTTTTTCTGAAGATCTTAACTCTTTAATACCCACAAAAATCCATCATTTTGGAAGAGAAAATATTCTGATTTCTGTCTTTTCTATATGAACTTCATATTTATTATGTCATAGGAGTCTTTCTACAATGTACTTTCTCCTTCCCCACTGAGTCTCAGCTGTGCTGGTGAAAGCTGTAAAGGGCAGATGCAGATCTGGATAGTGCACATTGAACAGCTTCATATCACAGGACAGCCGTGCTAGAATGCTGGGGACGCTTAGACCACCCACCACGGGAGCAAATGCAGGGGCAGAGGGACGCACACTCTGGCTTTCTGGCTGCCTGGTTGGTGTCTCTTCCGGGACAAACTCTTCCTATATAGAGAGAGAAAAGAACCCTGAATGTGCCTGCCAGGCCAATGACAGTAATGCGAGTGGCTTTTCTGACCTAAGCGATGTGTGTGTGTGTGTGTGTGTGTGTGTGTGTGTGTGTGTGTCGCTGCGCTGGGTGGCTTGTTGTAACAAAGGGTCTGCTTGTCTGCTGCCCATGGTTCCCGTTTCTGTTCTCGATTCCTGGAACTTCTGCAATCTGCTGCTTGTGTCATGTGTCCCTTCCCTGCTCTGAGCCCTTTCTCGCTGTCGATTCCCCGCCCGTGTCCCTCTCCTGTGGGAACACGGAGCCCTGCGGCACACCAGTCAGTGTCCCATCCTGAGGGGCAGATGCGGCGGGCTGCTTGACAGTCATGGCATGTTGTTCTTGAAGCAAGCAAAAACCTTTAGCTCACTTCCTGGTTATAAAAGTAATACTTACTCATTAGATGTAACAGGGGTTAGATTTAAAGATGTAGACAGGTACACTATGATTACTTTATGGCACATTTTTGTATTTTATCCTTATTTCTTGATCAGTACTTGTGTAGCATCAGAAACAAAATTGCAATCTGCTGGGTATATTCTGTTGTAACTCTTTTTCACTTAAGAATGCATTGTGGGTATATATGTATATGTGTATATGTATGTATATATGTACATATATTTCTAAAGCTATCTATATATATGTGCATATATATATTTCTAAAACTGAATTTCAATTTAGCAAAGATTTTTGAAGTTACCTTCAAAATCAGAGTTCAACAAGGTGCCCCCAATTTAGAAAGGCTGGATGTTGGCTGGAGGGGAATGAATGTTCGTTGCTCCATTGTATTAGTAACTGATAGGTCCTGAATGCTTAGCCCAGGTCAGACACTGGGATGCAGATGGGACACATACGTGCAGGGATGTCTGCTTTGATGCTTGTAACAACTCTGGTGCCTGATACTCCATACGCTTTATCTAACTTAAATCTTACATATGAAGTTGCAGATCTGACTCCCATGTCACGGTAGGAGAAGCAGGTGTCTTGTCCCCATGTGCATGGCTGTTGGTGAAGCCTGTGATCCTGCAGGTACCCGCTGTCTGCGCTTCCTCTCTGGGCCCCGGGGAGGGCCGCCCACTGCCTCCTCAGCTTGTCTTCCTGGGTGTGTAGCTTGTGAAGTGCCTGACAAAGAACCGACTTTCGGAGATTCTGGAGCTCATCCCTGCGTTTTCTTATTTGCTTATAGTTGCATTAGTAATACTATGTAATGCAGCACTGTTAATAATACATCCTGAATGTTTTTGGAGGAATATCTTTAAATCATTGTTTTGAGACTGTTTAGTGAAAATCAGACTGTGTAACCAGAAAGGGAGGTGTGAAGGTGCCGCTGTCGTCACTGTTCCCTTGAGGGACCTTGAGGGGGCTGCAGGAGTTTAAATTCTCTTTGTGGAGATGAATTTATTTTAGGCAAACAAACAAACAAAAGAATTAACATCATTGTCTTCCTGTACCTTAGTTTGGAGTGTACCACTATGAATTTAGTAGACGCACGCTTCTCTTCAGCTTGTGTCTAGCATGATACCTCGAGGCGGCTGTGGAAGTCAGTTCCTTAGGATATCCCGGGTGTGTTGGTGGAAGGGTGGGGTTGAAGCCTGTGGACTCACATGCTCCCGAGGAGCTGTTTGCAGCACTTCTTCCGCAGTCATATGCAGAGCATGACGTAGCAAATTTTGTGGCTTCCGTGGCACGCTGCTCACGGCTCAGTGGCAAGTTACAGGTGCGGCGTGCCTTTGACTTGGCACAAGTCTGAGGCCACCATCGTTTTTTTTTCTCAGGGTCCCAGTAATGTGCGTATGAGTTGTTTCTTCTCCTTGGCACTCGCAGGGACTTCTCAATCCCAGTTTCAGCCTCTCTGAAGAACGACCGCGTTCTTTAACCCATTCATTCAGCAAGCACGTGCTGAACACCTCATACGCGCCGGGTGCTGTTCTTGCACTCCCGATCGAAGAAACCCGTGAGCCAAAGACACAGAAAGAATAGTGCTTTCTGGAGTGAGGTGCTGTTTGATAACATGCAGTATCCCCAAACATAAATTGATGAGTGACCACCTGGATTTTTTTGCATGATATTCTCACCACTTTTGTCTTATTTATATTTAGTCTTTAAAAATCTGTTGAATTTAGTGAGGCCCATTTTATAGATGGGGAAACTCAAGTGCTGTGACAGACCCTAAATTATGTTCCTGGTAAATAACGGATTTAGGCTTTCAGTTCAGATTGTTTAATTCTAAACCTAGGGATTTTTCACTCTGCCTTTTTGAGCGTTCTTTCGATTTCAGTTCTTTAAACATACTGTTGGGTTCTAGTCCCAAGTCTTCTACATGAAACTGCAATACAGGACATTGGCTAAGAATGTAGATTCTTAGCCATACTATGCAGATTCGTATTTTGGCCCCATGTTTACTGTGTGACTCTTTACAAGTTGCTTAACCTCTTTGACCTTTTTTCATCTGTGAAATGGGAATAATCACTTGCCTCACAAGGTTGTCATGAGGCTCAAAGTAGATGACAGTCGTAAGATACACAGAGATTTATCTATGCACAGAGCAGAGCTCAAAGCATCAGCTACAATTTTTATTTTTATTGCAGAGTTAAGGCAGACTACTACATTATTAGGTTGTCAGGTGATTCAGTTTGGTTAAATTTTCAAGTATTAATACTTGAAAATTTGAGTTTGAGTTCTTGTCCTTCATTTTATTCTTTGAAGATCCCTCTCCCCTACCCTGCTTTTAAATGTGCTTGTGTGTGTGTTTCATGCACACACTGAAGTTTGTGTGGTTGTATGTCTTTGACTTTACAGGTATACAGTATTTAAAAGTTACTTTTTAGATGGATGATTTTAAGTTTGTATTATTTGGGTTTTATTTCAGTGCTGCAGGTGGAGAAATTTTCAACCTGTGTTTACCAGAGCTGGCTGAAATGGTCTCTGAAAATGACATTATCAGACTCATTAAACAAATACTTGAAGGAGTGTACTATCTACATCAGAATAACATTGTACACCTTGACTTGAAGGTAAGGTGGAGCGTGCCGTGAAGCGACACAGCAGCTGTGCTCCTTCTCTGCCCTTGGTGTGCGCACTTCTAAGCTGGCTGTGGGAGGCGGTGGCCGCGTCTGGCTTCCGGGCAGCGCCGAGTGCCCCCTGCCTGGTCACTGCGCCACAGGGATTCGGTGTGGGACTGGCGGACTGACAGCACCGTGTCTGCGCAGCTCAGACTGAGCTCAGCCTCTTCAAGGGCACCGTGCTTGTGTGTTCTCCACCCTCACCCTCTCACTCCGTCGCCGGCAGAGAGCCCACGCTGAGCCTCCTTTTATCCGGGCATCTGCCTCTGGAGCCCTCAGTTTTCATCTCCGCCTCCGCAGACGTGTGTGTCTCGCCAGCTCCTTCCTCCCGCCCATGTTGCTCAGCCATCTTGCTACGACCTCTGGCTCTTTCCGGGTCATTCAGGTTCCTTACCCGAGCCCTGACACCTCAGCCTTTGCTGTTGCTGTCTTTTCCCCCGTCCTCCTGCACAGACACCCAGCAACCCTGAAATCTGTCCTCCCGTCTCTGTAGCGGTGCGCTGGACTCCTCTCCGTAGTCTCCGTGCGGGATCCTTTGGCTTTTGCTACCACTTTGGTCATCACCACGGTCCCAGATCTCTCCCTAAGGCCCACGCTTACCTCCTGGTTTCCAACTCATTTTTTGCTGTACATCGGCTGCCGTGTGAATGTCCTGTAGAAACTTTAGGATGCAGTCTCACACCGCACTTGTTATCTTCCCCTGCTTTTCTTACCCCTTTTTCACAGGGGAAACCCAGCCAGGCTGTTTTCTTATCTTGGCCCTCCAGAGGGGGGCATGAGGTGGGAACTCTCACTGCCCCGCATCCTCACCATTTCCTGTCGTGGTGTAACATGCTGGGAAAGAAGCCACCTAGTAAGCACCACGCAATCACACTCGCGTCAGGTTCCCGTTGGGTCATTTTCCTGCTGACAAGAAATCAAGTGTGCCGCAGAGCCTCAGGCAGCGCTTGAAGTAGGGATGGCATATAAACCTCTGTAAACCTGACTTGATAGACCTTAAAGCCTGACCTTCACGACAGCAGAGCTCTTTGCCCTTACCTTTTATCCTGTAATAGCCTCTCTTTAGTAATGCAAAGATAAGAGATCGATCGTCCCAAAGTTCAGAGATGTTGGGATCCTGCGCGCTGACTTTGGGAGCAGCACTGCTGCATGTATGTGGGTTTGGGTAGCAGCAGGGAAGTCTGTCATAGGCCGCGGGCCTACACAGCCCCATCCTTCCAGGTGGCAGCGGATGGTGTGGCAGTGCCTCAGTTTCTCTGTGCTGCAAGCCTGGCAACAGTGAGATCAGGCTCATCCAAAACCATGGCCCTGTGCTGAAGCGTCTCTGCTTCTTCAGATGCGTGCGTGTCCGTCCCTTCTGTCTCCCGCTGTTCCCCGGCCCCTCCCGTGCGCACGTGAGCTCCTGCCCGTCCTTGAGGGCTCAGCTCCGGCGTCATCTGCCCCAAGAGCCTCCCTGGACTGTGTGGGCAGAAGCAGGCAGCCTGGTCTCTGTTTCCCAGTACTCTCTGTGTCATGCTCACTCAACCTAACTCTTTTCCCTCCAAACTGAAAATACTTTTTGAGTATAGTTTCTCCTAAATAGTAATCCAGTAGGTGTTTGACAGGTGACCCAGTGAAGTGGATAATAGGTAAACAGTAAATTCCAACTAATGTACCTACACCCTGAGACTTACATTCTTTAATTGCATGTTAAAGTACTTATAATTTTTTGTTCTGTTTTATTTAGCCACAGAATATATTATTAAGCAGTATATATCCTCTTGGAGACATAAAAATTGTAGATTTTGGAATGTCTCGAAAAATTGGGAATACATGTGAACTTCGGGAGATCATGGGAACACCAGAATACTTAGGTAAGAATTGATTTTTATTTTCTACATCATTTTGAAATTTATTAAGTGGCTGATACCTTTTTAAAACTATATTTGAAGGCTATGGGTATAGTTCATGCTATATATGTGCTAGTGTTTGCCTAGCACATATGCTAGTGTTTGCCTAGCACATACAAGGCCCTGGGTCCCATCGCTAACATCACAAATCAAATAAAAACAACATAAACTCTACCCTGTTATGTTTTTCCAGCATGTAATTTCAGGATTCATTTAGTTGGAATACTTCAGTGCATTGAAACTTGGTTATGACACATTTAAATGAATCGTGGTGAATGTATGGAAACTGACACATTCACATTCACAGGAGTTAAGCAATATACATGTAAAGTTTAATGTTTTGTATAAAGACTTGGTATGTATATAAGAAAAATAAGTAACAAAGAAATTAGTTCAGAAACAGAAGAAAAATGGAAAAAGTAAAACTGAGGTAATCAGGTGTCTTTGATTGTCTTTAAAGCCTGGTTGTTGGGTAGATTTCACTTTTTCTTCTGTGTCCTGCTCCAAAGGTGTTTGCAGTACAGATATCTTTGGTTTTGCAGAAATTGTTGGCAAGAGAACTCACTGTTTGTTGCTGCTGCTTATAAATGTGAGGGTTTGTGTAGGGTGCTGAAAGGAGGGTTTTGAAGAAGAAGGGCACCAAAAAGGAGCCTAGGATTAGGTGATCCAGAAATACTATACTGACTCAAAACAGTAGATCATGCGTATGAAGGATTCTTAAGTTGCATGATTCGTAAGCAGCATATAGAGTATTTTGACTTATAGTAGAAATATACTTACCCTTTTTTATTGTTTACATGGCCACCCCTATATCAACAATGAAAAGGTACAGCTAAACACAACAGCTTCCAGAGGTGCAAGACCGTGCAAATGACTGTTAATGTTAACATGGGCCATCGTATCCTAGAGTAAATCGCTGTAATTTCTGAAAACATAGCTCGCAAGAGTGTGTGAAATGGTTGTAGTAGTTTACCAGAGACTACAAAATAGTTGGACATTAGAAAACAAATTCATTTTGGACAAATTACGTGACCATATTGTAAAAAAAAAGAAAAAAATAATTTTTCAGTCATAAGTCCTAGTTTGGATGTGGCAATCTGAAGTCTACGGTAATGTTGAGAAAGTATAGAAAATTTATTTTGCAGTGTTTGGGGGCCAGTGAAAAGACAACTGGAAATTAATTGCATAGCAAATTAGGTTTTGAGTTTAAAAGAGACAGTTTAAAAGGAATATTTAGTCTGAAAGCCTAGCATTTCCAAGAAGCATAATTTGTTCACAATGTCATTATAAATGTATATGATCTGATTTACTTTGAAAAGAAAAACTTAAGTTCAATCTAGTAAAGTAATGCAAATTCCTAACAAAGTAATAAAAGTAAAATTTAAAAAATATGGTAGCTTCTAAGATTTATTCAGTGTTTTTTCCGAGGTTAATATTAGTATACTGGTTCTTTTAAACTACAAATGACCAGTTACTCTGTGAATATTGTTAGAGTGTATGAACCATTTAGTTAGTCATAACTTGTTCAGTATTATATATCTCTAATCACAGGACAGTTGTCTGTGATCACAGGACAATTAAAAGTATGCTAATTTCTGTTTATCCTTTATCACTCTATTTTTAAAAATTAAATCCAATTCTAATTTAGCATAAAGTAATTTGTCAGTATTGAATTTAAATTTCTTCTCTTTCAGCTCCAGAAATCCTGAACTATGATCCCATTACCACAGCAACAGATATGTGGTAAGATTCTGTTAGTTACCTAGCAGTGGCAGGTTGGTAGTGTATATTCTGGCATTCTTTCATTCCAAGTGTAAACCATAAGGCTTCATTTAAAAGATCTTTTCAAGTGTCGCTGTTATGCCACAAGAGAATATTTATCTGCCAGTGTTTTTAAAATAACACTGAATCTCCCAACCAGAGGTTCAGAAATACATAGGAAAATCCCTTTTGGTGATGAAAACTCACTTGAATACAAAAACAAAGCAGGCCAGGCAGTGCTGTGTTCTGTTATAAAAGGAGAATGCTCAGCAGCGGGAACGCCTGATCTAGGCCTAGAAAAATTAGGCAAAGCTGTCTGCTAAGCAGAAAAGGCAGGTCAGGTATGTAACATAGCACAGTTTTATTGAGGGACACCTCTATCAAAAGCAGTTTAAATCCGTAGTTTAAGTACACCAGTTTTGAGAACAGGAATGTGTGGAATATTAATTGTACCTTATATAAATATTTTAAAAATTAAATTAATTTTAAGTTCTCTCTTTTTTTTAGGAATATTGGTGTAATTGCTTATATGTTACTAACTCATACTTCACCATTTGTGGGAGAAGATAATCAAGAAACATATCTTAATATTTCTCAAGTTAATGTAGATTATTCAAAAGAAACTTTTTCATCAGTTTCTCAGCTGGCCACAGACTTCATCCAGAGCCTTCTGGTTAAAAATCCAGAGTAAGTAATAACATTAATTTGTTTAAATACCATTGCAAAATATTGTGTGTCTATTAAGAAAGGCTCATTCTAAAGTGGTATAAAATGCTTAGACATATTGCTCACATTTTAGATAAAATGGAGAGAAAGATGGTATAAAAGATAAATAATAAATACATAGCTTCAGATAAAAAATATAGAATAGGGAGTTTGGAATGGAAGGATTTAGGTTACTTCTTTCTTAATAATCTGCTAATCCTTGAAAACAAATGTAAATAGAAAGTTTAGAGTACTATGGCTGGTTATGGTAAGACTTTATTATGAATGATTTACAGTTTAATTATAGTTAAATAACAAGTACACATTACTGAATGTCAAAGCTTGAAGAATAAAATGCTTTAACAGCTTTATATACAAGGGCTCTAAATTGTGGCTCAAGACTTCCTCATAGGCAACTTCAAGGCAAGAAAGGAGAAATGGACCTTTCCTTCCCCCAGGGTCAGCCCAGTTCATTCTCCAATGTAGAAGCTGGAGCCTGGCACCTGGCGCTGGGACCCTGACTTTCTTTCTTTTTATTTTTTTATTGCTGGCAATTACTCACTCTCCTGAAGGACTTGGTTTTTTTAATATTAAAAAAATCTCAGCTTTCTTTATTACTTTATTAATTCACATCTAAACTCTTACTATATTTGGATATGAATGATTATAGAAATAATAATAATTCCAGTTTCTCACTATAAGCAATTTTAATTTTCTTAATATTTTTTACCTAAATTCTAAAATTCTGGTAATGATCATATGCATTTTTTGTGATTAGAAAGAAAAACTATACATAAGAGCAAAAAGCTAAGGAAACATAAACATATACCAAAGAAACAAAAAGCTAAGGAAGCATAAACATAACCCAAAGAAACAAAAAGCTAAGGAAACATAAACATATACCAAAGAAACAAAAAGCTAAGGAAACATAAACATATACCAAATGATGGTTGTGCTCAGTGATGCTTCTAATGGGTGTTTTTTCCTTCTATTTGAAAAAGTTTGATATTTGACCACACTACTTCCATAATAGAAAGCAAACTTTAAAATTCAAAGTGTTGAATAAACATTATTGAAGACTAGCCTTTGTCTTCAAGATTTAGTAGTTACTGCTTATAAAAACACAAAATAATAGAGAACATGAATTACTTGTATTTTCCTTCAAGGGTTTATAGACCCAAGTGGTATAGTTTTTTTTTTTTCTTTTTTGAGACAGGGTCTCGCTTTGTAGTCCAGGCAGGTCTTGGAGCTCACTGTGTATTCCAGGCTGGCCTTGAACTCACTGTTGGCGATCCTCCTGTCTCAGTCTCCTGAATGCTGGGAGTATAGGCATGCACCACCACGCCTGGCTGTTTTTTCAATATTTTTTGTTAGACTAACATATGCCTTCAAGCTTTTTGACTAGATTTTCATCTGTGAATTCCATGATAAACTGAATTTTTGTACATGTCAGGAATACAGAAACTCCAGCTACTCCAGCTGGTCTTCTCTGAGCAATCCCACATGGATTCTTTATGTATAACTGAGACTATACACCAGCAGAGGCAGGACCAGGTGACAAAGAGCTGCAGAGGCTGAGCTTCCCTCGATGTTTTTCCTCTTCTTATTTCGTTTCTTTAGGTGTAATAAAGGAAGTGACATTATAAAATATTCTTTACTAGCTGTAATTATAGGATATCTTTTGCTTGAATTGGTCAGTTTTATTTAAGGAAAAATCTGTTATTTACCCAAAAAATAAGGAAAATACTTGTTTTTTTCCTGCAGTGAAGGAAATGTTAACATTAAGTATAGTTTTTAAGTCATTTGCAGAATAGAATGAAATTTTTTAGTTAGAAAAACTGATTTTTTTTCCATGTAGTTTGTGCTACCAACAAGAATTTTACTAAAAATATTAGTTAGACTTAATGTCCTTCCATATATAAATATAGATTCTTGGGCTTGGAGTATAGCTTATTGGTAGAGCACTTGCCTATCCTGCCCAAGGCCTGAGCTTGATCCCTACCATCATTCATAAAAGAGAAAAAATGTATTCATGATAGAATAAAAAGTAAGACTTAAGTTCGAAAAGTAAACCATAAACGTTCTATAGAAACTTGTATTTTTTTATAATCTTTAGATGGTCATTTGAAGGTCAGTTGAAACTGTTAAAATATAGAGATCCAATAATATGATTAATTTATTCTCTGTAAGTAATCAGAAGTTCCCCAAAACATTTTCTTAGTGTTTATTGCAGCATTATTTGTAATACCCAAATTCTGGAAGCACCATTGGGTATGTAGTTATGATGGTGCACCCATATGTAAGAGTGATAAATAATGTAGCCGTTATTTAATGTGTTAACTGTGTACTGACGTGGGAAGATGCTTGAGATCTGTTGTCAAGCAGATGAACAAAGCAAATTGCAGACATATGTAGTGTATATGAACGTGTGCACATTTACATATATGTAGAAAAATAGGTAGAATTGGAGAATGAGAGAACAGACAAAATTTTATATTTTACCTTCATGGGAGATAATTGGGTATAATACTTAAAAGCACAGACTCTAGAGTTAAGGTTCCACTTACTGTACTGCGTTCGTTTTTGCCGATATGACAAATGCCTGAAGAATCAACTTTAGAGAAGAAGCCTGTTCTGGCCCAGAGTTTGGGAGGTTTCAGTCCATGGTGGTTTGCTCCGTGGTCCTTGGGCCTGTGGCGAGGCAGAGCACTGTGGTAGGGAATATGTGGTGGAGCAGAGCTCCTCACCTCCTGGTGCCTGGGAGGCAAAGGAGAGGAAGGGCCAGGGCCTCAATACGTCTTCAAGCGCATCCCGGTGACCTAATTCTTCCCATGATCCTAACTGTAGCACGCGCCATTTACAAGGTGGGAGGATCTGGGAAAACCCGAGTCTCTTGGTGTCCCACTTCCTTTTTGTCATACATGAGAAAAATAATAATATTACCTATTGTCTAGGTTTCTCATAATTATAATATATTGGAAACATATCCATATAAATTTTGGAAAACTTACACTATGACCAGAATACGTGGCATAAAACTAAGCATTCAATAAATGTTAGCTGCTATTATCAGTACTAGTCTCGGCTACATTATTTGGATGTTATACTAGGAATATGTGTTATTTTCATAATAATTTTTAAAAGTCTCTAATTGAACTGAAAACATTTTCAACCTGATGTTGATGCCCAGTTTTCCCTTGCTGCTTTCTGCCACAGGAGCAGACCCACGGCGGAGACCTGCCTTGCTCACTCTTGGCTGCAGCAGTGGGACTTTGGAAGCTTGTTTCACCCTGAAGACACTTCCAGTTCCTCTCCAATTCAGGAGCCTCCAGTGAGGTCCTCCGAAGATAAGACTGCGAAATCCTGTTGTAATGGACCCTGTGGCGACCGGGAAGACAAAGAGAACATTCCAGAGGACGGCACCATGGTTTCCAAAAGGTTTCGCTTCGATGACTCTTTGCCCAACCCCCATGAACTTGTTTCGGATTTGCTGTGTTAGCACTTTTCTCTCTGACTCATTTGGACTGACTTTGGAATTTGAAATGCACTCCACTGAGAGAGATTGTGGGTTGTAGCTTCATATATGATGTGTTTATATTGTAAATGCACTTTTGCATAGAAAAATTTAAGGAAGCATTTTTAAAAATGCAAAATTTCTAGTTGCTGGCATAATATTATTTCCTGTCTTGAGATAACTCCATAGAGAAAATATTTAAATATATGACAAAAAAGTGAAATTATACATGTGAGTTCACATGGAAATGAATGAATTCAAGTTCAAATGAACTGAAATTTTTTTTCATATCAGAAAAAATGGTTTGGGTTATATTACGGTGGTTGTAAACTGAGCAAGTGGAGGCATTGGAAGTGAACCAGCTCTGCCTCTAAGGCGAGGCCTGGGCTCTGTTGGCAGTTTATTTAGAACAGTCTCAGTTTTAAGGCAAAATATATATGACTTTATAGATGTCCCGGGGCATTTTACAACCGAAAATGTTTTTCAATTATAAACATTTTAAAGCTGCACTTAGATTTCTGTTGTATGTGATTCACTGTGTGAACCCAGAGCAAAGCGGGGCCCGGAAGGCAGGGAGAGCTGTGTCCACGCTGGCGAGAGGGCCGTGCAGGGTCTTCTTCCCCATCCCCACTGTCTCTCACCATCCTCAGCACCTTTGGGTCTAACGAGCTCTGGAGGGCTGAGGGCGCGTGGTATGCGAGGACCTCTGCAGTTCTTCAGCCTCTGGGATGTAGAGAGTAGAAGACGCTCGGGTGAACTGGCCGTGACCAGTGTCTAGCTAAGTGTCTTCAGTGAGCATAGAAGAACATGTTGACAGACTCAGGCAGCTTATTCAGCTTTAGTGTTTCTTAAGTCTTAGAATACAAGCCCATAGGGCCAGGGATTTAGCTCAGGGGCACAGTGCCTGCCTGGTAAGTGCAAGGTCCTGAGTTCACTTTCTGGCACCCAAAAAAAAGAATACAAGCACATCAGTTAGAGCCCTAAAATGTGCATAGAAGACACCACACAGCCAGGCACGGTGGCACACACCTATAATCCCAGCACTTGGGAGGTTAGGGCAGGAGGATCACCATGAGTTTGAGGCCAGCCTGGTCTCCATAGGCAAGTTCAAGACCACTGTGGACTACATAGTGAGACCGTGTCTCAAAAAAAAAAAGGAAACACCACACCAATTCCAAGGCTGTGTAACACAGTGCCATGTCCGAAATAGCAAGGCCAACATGACAGGAAAAGTTTTTGTGTGAAATTCCTGGTGCGTGGGAGAGAGGTGACACTCTCTGCAGGGCCTGTGGGGGCCCTGTGCTGGAAGCAGCACAGGTGGAGTGGAGGGCGAGAACAGGGCCGGGGTGTGGCCAGTAACTAGCTCGGGACTGATTGGGTGTGAGTGGGGAGCACTTGAGCAAACTGAAGAATTTCTAGCTGGTAATCATTAAAGAATTCATTACAGTATCATGTAAAGGTAACTGTGATCTCCTGACTTGTAATTATGTCAAACTGTATGTTATATGTTAACAAAAAAAAAAAAATCACCTCAGATTTCCCTACGAGTTAGATATTGCTGTATAGACCTGTACATGATGGAAATTGTGATGACTTAAAGTTCTGTAGATAACTTTATTGTTTAATAACCATGGCTTATCTTGACTGGTGAAATCTTTTAACAGCTTCTGAATTTTTCAAAGAAAAGTTGTTTCTGCTGTGTGTGTACACACATGTGTATATGTATATGTGTACATATAGATAGATAAATACAGTCTTTAAACAACTGTCTTTTAGGCAGTCTTTGCTCTATCTTGTACTCAACTCAGGTGCCAAAGGAGCTCTTTTCATGAATAAGAAGTATATACACAGGTTCTTTAAGAAGTTGTTTGTTGGTTCAGTAGACACTGCAGATACTAAAGTGAGCTCTTGTATGTCTACAACTGATGAGTTATTTCTGAATTTTTGATGGTTATTTGTCTTCAGTATTAAGTAATGCAGGTAAAGCTTAGCGAGTCATTAGAGAACGAGGAAACGATTACTTTTCTAAAAGACCGTTGTTAGAGTTTCAAAATTTTACAGGAATTACACCATAACAAACAAAAATGAAGAAATGATTGAATTTTGAAATATAAGCTACTTCTTAAAACTGATTTTATAGTCTCTTTCTTTTTCTCTAAGGAATCTTAAAAACAGTTTGTGTATTTTCCCTTGGTTAATGGAATGCACAGAGTTGTATAAACTTCCACAGAAGTCACGTTGTTTCATTATAAAGAAACCACTTAGTAGAATAAGAAAGGACAAAGGATATAAAACTGTCTGTTGATAAAGGTAAATTTAAATATTTTCACTAACTGCAATGTGAAAATAAACCAACCTTTCTGGAGAAATCATTGGCAAGTGACTCGACTCTTACCCATTTCCTCCCAAGTTTGAAAGCAAAGTGGCTGTGAAGTCATGCACAGCTGACCGCAGTAGGACCCTGGGGAGCCCTCCGAGTGCACAGGGCTCGGAGCATGGAGACTTCCGCACAGAGCTGCCACGTGTGATCCTGCGAAACGTAACCTGCGTTTGGGGTGGGATCTCTGGGCGCGGGGCACTTTAAGGTGAACGGTGGCGATTACGACTGTCGTTTGAACAATTTTCCCTCCTGTACCTGAACCTGACAGCGGTGAAGTTGTGAGGACACTTTAAAGGAGGTAAGTGGTACTGCTGTCCCGCCTGTAATGACACCAGATGATTGGGCCAGAATAAAGTCAATCTTTTCCTTACTATGAAAATCGTATGAGCCAGTGTGGTTAGTGAGGTAATCGATTTTGATTCTTTGATGGACACAAATCAGAGACACTGGCGAGCTTCACTGGTGGCCTTCCAGGAACTCACTCCCATGAGAGCAGGACCTCTGTGAAAGAAGAAAGTGGATCCTAAAAGCGATCAAGCAGCAAGGGACCGACTGGAAGAAAGGAAATGAATGAAAAGGCTAGCCTAGAGCCAGTTCCATTGAAGAATTTATTACCCCTCCAAAGTCCTTGGCTGAATCACGACAGCGACCTCAGGTGACCCTGCCAAGGACAGGAAGCAGGAGCTCTGCTGCCAAAGAGGTGGGCGCTGTGCAGTACGCCCGGCAGAATGCTCTGCGGAAGCTGAGGCTCGAGACGCCCAGACGGGGCCCAGCTCTCCCCCTGTGAGAAGGGAGGGCCGCGTTACACAGCATTGTGTCCCGCTACCGATCCCGGGTACAGTGACATCACCAAGGTGTCCACACAGGCGGAATTCGAGAGCGAAGCCAGCGGCCCTCAGCTCACTCTGCTTCCCAGAGTCAAAGTGGCCAGGGCCAGCGTCTGCATTCCAGAGATCAGAAAGTTGGTAGTAGAAGTTTAATCAAAAACTCATGTTGCTGAAGGCCTGTAAACAGGCATTAGGAACATCCCGGCAGAAAACCCATGAAACATTATCAAAACAGTGATCCTTCTGCTTAAAAATTAAGATGTGCTCTTTTTTTAAACATTGTCCTTTGTTTTCAAGCATTTTATAGTTTACTGTTTTTAGATGCATAATTTACCCTCCTGGTCGTTCTAGCCTTTGACACAGGAAATCTTGGAACTTCCTTTTCAGCATAGCTGTCTATTATTAGGTCCTGTCCACTGGAAAGGCCACATATATTGGGGAACAAGCAGGTGTACTCGCTTGTAATAGTAGATAGTGTTAGAGTACGTCCGAAGTGGCCGTGTGCTGCATGCTGCTCAAAAGCTGGATAAGAGACTTTTACAGAAGTTTACGGCTTGGTGGTGGACTCAGGTGCGGTTGGCTTCCGTGATTCCTGGTGGCTGTGCCGGATAACACGTCCACACCCACCTCCTTACTGTATCCTTGGCTGTGTCCTCATGATTCCTCCGAGTCCACAGTCTTCAGCCTAAACCTGAGTGTCTAGAGCCTCTAGCCTTTCAATAGCCAGCAACGTTCTATTGAAAGAACCAGTTATTAAATATATCAGGCTCGTAGGCGAAACAGTTTCTGTGACAACCGTGCTGCCGTGGAAACACGAAAGCACCCATCAGCCATATGCAAATAAACGAGTGTCCCGAAAAAAGTAACTTCGAGAAGCGGACAATGCGGCAGGTGGTTGGTTAAGCCCAATCTAGATTATTGCAGCGATGTTTAATGCTTCTCCCCCCTTTCTCAGGATTAAGGTGGGAGGAGAAGCCAGAGACACCTCGGGGTGGTATCGTCCGTGAGGAAGAGAAGAGTCTCCGCTGCGTTGTGCTCTCAGGTGGACACGGAAGAGGCAAAAGACTAAGGAACGGCCGCTAGACGCAGCAGTTTCACCAGAATGCAGAGGTTGCAAATGGTTAAGAAAAAGGACGGTAGAGACCACAGGCACAGATCATTCCTCAGAGAAATGTTTCGAAGGAGGAGAACAATACTTAGAAGAGTGTTTTTGAGATGTCCTAGGCTGAGGAGGAGCTGGGAATATTTGTGGGCAGTGAGGGAGGAGGAGGAGGACACAGAAGGCAGCAGGGGCCATACCTGCCGGCAGCAGAGGACTAGGGGACTGGGACAGCGCTACGGGAGGCGATGAGATCACGTGTAAGCTGGGGACCTGCTTAGAAGCAAGGGCATCCGCCCTCAGCCAAAGTGACAAGAACATGGGGGTGATGACAAGTGCAAGGCAGGGGCTGGCTGTCTTCTTCTCCGAGGGTGACGGAGTCGGAGACGGGTGTGGCTGCCGAGCAAACTGCGGCCAAGAGGAACAGAAAGGTCCATGAACAGTGTCTGTCAGCTGGGTAGAACCTGCAGCTTACCAGGAGAGAGACTCAGGACTGAACGTCTTGATTTGTGCTTTGTGGTGTTCGCTGTGTAAAGTATGCAGCTAGGCAAGCTTTGTGATTCTAATTTATAATTTCTGACTCTATTTTCCTCTTTCATAGCAAAAGATTATGCTTCTATTGGAAGAAGTATATGACTGTATTTAAAACGAGTGGAACCCCAAAACCTTCCTTTGAGGTTTTCTTTGCAAATACTTAAGTCTGTTGGGGAAAAGCTTGAAGTGAGTGGCAAAGGCTCAGAAGGAAACAGAGAGAGATCCCTGGATCTTAGAGTGGGAACCTGGCCCAGTCCCTTGGTGCACACTGACGCTGTCCCAGGGCCGTCCAGCACCGGGGATGTAGTGTGTGGGCCACGGGAGAAGCACACCACGGGACATGGGTGAACACTGCTGGGTCCCGAGGGTGGCGAGAGAAGGAAGGTAGACGGCCCGGGCCTGAGGAGGGCTCTCATGGGGCTTAGCACAGCACATCAGACACCTTGGACCATCCCTTCACTGGCACGGGCTCCTCCAGCAGCAGATTTCACGTGGCTGGTCCTCACCGTGTCTCTTAGTGGAAGCCAAAAGCATGAAACTAGGATGCAAAGTCCCTCAAGGTACTTCTGTCCCGGAAGACATTGCCTCATGGCGAAGTCAGGGTCCCTAGCCAAGCCCCTTCTGCCTCGCCTTCTGCCTCAGCTGCTCTTGCAGCTCACGGGGAGTCAG